TGAAATGCAGGTAGACATAGTACTGAAAGCTGAAAGTCTTACATCTTGATCCAAGAGCAGCCAGGAAAAGGCTCTTATGGGAACTGGGTGGAGCTTAAGTTTCAAAGCCCATCCCCACAATGACACACCTACTCCAACAAGGCCATACCTTCTAATAGTGCCACTTCCTATGGACCACGCATTTTCAAACCACCATACAATTGAATCTCATGATCTCAATTTTTAGTGGCTAATAGTCTATTTCGTAAATATAACAATGTTTCTTATCCGTTCTCCTATTGAGGGAAATCTAGATTGTTTCCAACTTCTGGCTATTATGAATAGAAAAGCAATGAATATGGTTAAGCAGGTTGTATCTATGGTAGTATGAAGCATCCTTTAAGCATGCTTTTTGGGCATATCCAAAAGTGGTTTAGCTGGAATTGAAGTAGACCAATTTCCATCTTCCTGAGGAACTGCAACACTGATTTCTAAAGTGGTTATACAAGGTGGCACACCCACCTGCAATGAATAAGCGCTCCCTTGATCCACATCCTCACCAGCACATGTCATTTATGAACCGTAGCCATTCTGATGGGTGTAAGATAAAATATCAAAGTCGTTTTGATTTATATTTCCCTGGTAAATGCAGATGTTGACCCTTTCTTTAAGTATTTCTCAGCCATTTGAGATCCCTCTATTGAGAATTCTGTTTACAAATATAGCCTGTTTTTTAACTGGTTATTTATTGTCTTGATATCTAGGTTTTTTTTAGTTCTTTAAATATTTTGGATATTAGCCCCTTATCAGATGTGTAGTTGGTAAAAATCTTTCCCCATTCTATAGGCTGCCTCTTTGTTCAAACGACCGTGTCTGCTGCCCTACAGCTTTCCAGCTTCATGAGCCATTTACGAATTGTTGATCTTAGTGCCTGTCCTAATGGTATTCCATCCAGAAAGCCTTCTCCTGTGTCAGTGAGTTCAAGGTTTCTCCCCACTTTCTATTCTATCAGATTTAGTGTATATCCATCTATGTTAAGGCTTTGGTCCAGTTGGAGTTGAGGTTTGTGAAAGGTGTTAGGTATGGATTTATTTGGATTCTTCTACATGCAGCCACGCAGTTTACCCAGCACCACTTGTTAAAGATGTTATCTGTTCATTCCACTGTGTATTTCTGGATTCTTCATAAAAAAAATCAAGTGTCCATAGGTGTGTGGATTTATGTATGGGTCTTTAATTCCATTGATCAAGATTACTATTTTCATGCCAATACCATGTTGTTTTTATTACTGTAACTCTGTTAGTACACCTTACAACTGGGGATGGAGATATATCAAGCAGTTCTTTTATGATTGTTTTAGCTATACTAGGTATTTTGTTTCCATATAAAACTGAAAAATTTCCATTCAATATCTATAAAAATTTTTGTTGAAATTTTGATGGGTATTTTAATGAATCTGTAGACTGCCTTGCTAGGAAGGCCATTTTTACTATGTTAATCCTCTCAGTACATGAGTATGGGAGATCTTTTCATCTTCTGTTTTCTTCTCCAATTTCTTTCTTCAATGTCTTAAAGTTTTATCATACAAGTCTTTCACTTGCTTGGTTAATTACCCCAAGATATTTCATATTATTTGAGGCTATTATAAAAGGTGTTAGTTCTCTGATTACTTTCTCAATCTGTTTGTCATTTGCATATCAGAAGGCAACTGATTTCTGTGAGTTAATTTTGTATATAGCTACTTCATTGGAAATACTATTATGTCATCTCTAAATAAAGATACTGTTACATCTTCCTTTCCAATTTTTATCACTTGGTAAACTTCAGCTGTCTTAGTTCCTCTCACAAAGACTTAAAGTACTACATTGAATAAGTATGGAGAGAGTGGACAACCTTGCCTTTTTCCTGTTTTTAATGAAATTGCTTTGAGTTTCTCTCCATTTTTGTTGATATTGGCTACAAGCTTGCTACAAACTGTCTTTATTATGTTGAGTATGTCTTTTGTATCTCTAATCTCTCCAAAGATTTTATGATGATTTGTCAAAGGCCTTTTCTGCATCTAATGAGACGTCCATGTGGTTTCCATCTTTCAGTTTGCTTATGTAGTGGATTGCATATATTGATTTATGTATAGTGAACTATCCCAATATCTTTAGGACAAAGCCTAATCATGGTAAATGTTCTTTTTAATGTGTTCTTGGATATCTCTTACAAGTATTTTATTGAGTATTTTTGTATCCATGTTCATGAAGAAATTGGTTTGTAGTTCTCTTTCTTTGTTGTGTTTTTATATGGTTTAGGTATCAGGGCAACTATGGCCTCAAAAAAATGAATTAGGCAATGACCCTTCTGCCCTCTTGTTTCTACTTTGGGGATTAATTTGAGGAGTACTAGCAATAACACTTCTTTGAAAGTTGGGTGGAATTTTATGCTAAAATCATCTGGCCCTGGCTTTAGGGGTGGGAGGGGTAATTTCTAATTGCTGCTTCTAAAATTTAAACAAACTTTCAAATTACTTGTATAATATTGATTTAATTTTGGTAAGAGGGTATTGATTTAGAAATATCCATTTCTTTTAGATTTTTCTAATTTGTTAAAATACAGCTTTTAAAAATACGTCTTTATTATTGTCTGTTGTTATGACCCTCCTTTTCATTTCTGATTTTGCTATTTTGGATAATCTATCTCCATCTTTTACTTAATTTGGATAACTGTTTTCAATCTTAATAAGTTTCTCAAAGAAACACCACTCTGTCACCTTACAACAACCTAGGACCACATGAGAAGAGAGCTTCAGTTGAGGAATTGTCTCAATCAGGCTAGCCTGTGGGCATGTCTGTTGGGTAGTGTCTTGATTCAACAGTGTGGGAAAACTCAGCCTATATGGACATTAGCATTTCCTAAAAAGGTAGTCCTGAACTGTGTAAGAGTTGAGAAACTGAGCTACAGACAAGCATGCAAGAATCTATTTGTTTCTCTTTCCTCTTGTCTATGGAAGTCATGTGAACAGCTACTAGAATTACTGCCTTAACTTCCCTTCAATGACAGATTATAAACTAGATTTGTAAGCCAGATAAACCTTTTCCTCCCCTAAGCTGCTTTTCATCAGGATTTTATCACAGCAGCAGAAATAAAACTAGACCAAATGCAAAAGAGTAGTTTTACTTGATTTGCTTGGGTGTTTGTGTTTCTCAAAATAAGTATTTTTCTTTATATATTCCAATTGCTCCCTTGGAATGCTTTCAAAGATAACTTGTTCAACTCAAATTCTTTACCATTGGAAGCCAGAGTCCAGTGATGGCACTGTCACCAACCTGAGAGGAAGGGGAATGAAGCAATTGTCTCACTTAAGGAGATTAAAAATATCTAATTATGATCTTGATATTTTACTCCATTGAAAACAATCAAGCCAGGTTTAAAGAATTCTCTGCTACAGTTTTTGTTTTTAATTAACATGGAAACAGGAAACTGTATGTATCAGTGGGTATTTCCTGAGTTACTAAACTTTTCATATCATCCTTAACATGAACTATCCGTTTTCTTAAGTGAATGGAGTAACCAATTATATGCCTTGTTGTCCCTCCTTCTGTATGTTACCTTCTTCTTTTCTGCCCCCCCACCCCTACCTCCTTCAATAGAAATAATACTTATGGACTTATTCTGGAGGGGAACAAAATGGAAATTAGAAGACATGCAATAAACCTAAAGATGAAAGCAGACACTAGAATAAAGCAAGTGAAAAATATTCTAAAAAGTCATCAAGAAACTTTCCTATTTCTTGAGGGCTGGAGAGATGGCTCAGTAGTTAAGACGGCTTGTTGACCTTGGAGAAGACCAGAGTTTGGTTCCTGGTTCCCTTACTGGGCCATGCATAACTGTCTATATGTCTAGCTTTTAGGTATCTAGCTTCACTGGTACCTGTATACAGGTGGTACCCACCTGTATGAAAAGGTGTTAGAAGAATGGCTCAAAAGTAGCAAAGCTGCCAGACAAATTCCTGCCTCCCCTGTCTGCTGTTCATCTTTTGCAGAATGTCACAGCACATGATGATGTGAACAAAGAGGAAGCCGTGTGGAGCTCTTTAGGCTAGTGCTCTCTAGTCTGAGGACAGGCATAGTGCTGTAAGAGATAAAATTAATTACCAGTAGGGAGGTGTTTACTACGAGTCGGTCCCTGGGTTTGATGTTCACAACCATACAAATATACACATGTCCACACACATATACACACAGAGACACAGAATCAACGCAGACATCCCACAAACTAAAAAGCCAATGGAAGAATAATCCTCATAAATGATCTTGGGAACCTGTTGTTATGAGTCAGTAAGAAGCAATGTTACTGTGAGACTGTCTAAGAACAATTTCATTTTCATAGTATGTTATGGCTAACTTCATATACCAATGGATGTACGGATATCAGAGGCAAATGCTAAAACTATTTCTGAGTGTGTTTGCAAGGCCGCTGCTTCTAGAAGATGTGAGCATTTGAATAAATGAGCAAAGAATTTCCTGATCACCAGTATGGGTGAGCATCCTCTACTCCACTGAGGACCCGAAGAGCCAACAGCAGTGGCGGTGCTTGTCCTTTTTGATAGTGTACTAGCTGACACACACACACACACACACACACACAGAGAGAGAGAGAGAGAGAGAGAGAGAGAGAGAGAGAGAGAGAGAACAATTCCATGTGAAAATTCAAAGGTTGTTCTGATTATACATGTGCAACGTAAGCACACATTTTTTCTACTGTGTAATTCTGAAAAATGTCTGAAACCTGTGGGAAAAGACTAAAGTCGTCTATAAAGCAATCTGTCTGTCCCTGAAAGTTCACCTGTGAGCTGTGCAGGCTGAGGTATAGCTTTTCTACTTACACTGGAGTTAAGTAAATAAGTAATTTTTCTTCATTACTCATTTCTGTAGTATGTTTCTCAATCTATTTTAAAAACAAAATATGTAATCCTAATTCTGCAAAGCTCACTTTAATGAAAATGTTCATATTAACTATTTTGATAGCCATACCTTGCATGTCCTTTATGGCCCTGAATTCCCAGCACACTGAACACCATAAGGCATGGAGCAGGCCCTGAAAGTATAATCATTAAATAAATGAATGTCACAGATATCAGTAATGCAGGAATCATAATACTCTTTGTCTATACTTTAATCCATTGTCTCTAATTTCACAAATTGAAACTCAGAGTAGAAGACCTATTTTTAACATGATACAGGTAATGGTTTCATTCTATGTTGAGAACCACTTCATCTGGTAAAATACAAATATATGTCACTAAAACAGATGTTAGCTGATCTACCAGACTTATAAATGAGCTTAACCTGTGTCACCTGTCACTTCATCTAAAAACTAAGTTGATTTGGACCCAAGGTTTAATCATAAGTAATGTAATATGACTACAATGAACTGTTTGGAAATATTTCTACCATTATGGCTTTCAATCTATTCTAGTGTGATTAAAAATCAGAAGAAATGCATTATGGAACAGATCCAAAGGCATGCAGTCTGACACACAGACTGTAACCACTTAGAAGTAGTTACCTCTAAGTTACTTTACTCTGGTATTTTTCTCCTTGGCATTACCTTGGTCTCCTTTGTGTCATGCCATTGAAAAGCAACACTCATGGAGAATGGGTAAATTTGTTTCATAAGCCACTGTAAAATAACTGTAAGGAAATTGAACTCAAGAGGAAATCGATAAAAACTGAGGAAAAGTACCAATGAACAGGTAACTTCATTATAAAATTTAAACCATATCGTGTGTATGTCAATCACACATACATACAATACGAAATACTATCACAAAATCCTAAATGCTCACATCTTCACAGCTCCTGATCTTCACTGATGCTAATAAGAAAGATATTTCATGCTTTGTTATCCTGTTGAAGACATTTGTTCATCTAGAAACACATCTCAAATTTCTTTGGATCTCTTTGAGCTCTAGGAGGAACAGCTGTTTCCTGTGTTCTTTCAGAACTTAACACTTTCTCTGATTTCTGATCTTCCACACAGCATGACAGTTTACTTTCCATTCTATCTCATCTACAAACTGTGAGTTTGAGAAAGCAGGCATGAGGGCTGTAAAGGTAGCTTACCTGCTCCAGGTCAAAGCTCACAACCAAAACTAGAAGGGAAAATCGGCATGAGATTGTGTGGGTTCTTAAGTCTTTATCATGGTATCAAATATGCATTTGCTGAATACTTGACTGGATGAATAAGTGAAGCACAGAGCCTCTGAGTTTCTGAATCAAGGTGGACGCTGTTGCAGAATGGAAGAGTTATAGGCAGGCATCCAAGCCTCTCAATGAAAAACAGAGTTATTAACTCTTTACTGATAGAACAAACCACAATATGAGATTTTTTTTTTCTTTAATGTTTCCTGAAACTCTCATTCATGAAGACATTGAAGCAGTTTTCTTTTGGTATGGGGTCACTTAAAATGACAAAAATGATTTCAAATCATGAAAAAACTTCTTGACATCTTTATTAACAGAACTCTGACATTTCACAAATTGGGAACCCTTGCCCACTGCTGATTTTCAGGAATATTTGCAGTAGAAACTTTTAAAATGAACCAATTTGGTATCTGCTGCACCAAACAGACCAGACAGAATACTGAAACGAGTAGCCCTCCAAACCCAAAGAGAGAACTTCACAGGAAAGTGAGGAGAGATGGGAGAGCTGTGAAGAAGAAACCTTTGTCTACCTGTAGTGGCCATGGTGATCATTGGCCTCTAGAGTTATTTGCAAAACAATTGTGCCAACCACAATGCCTGGCTGTCAAAAAGTAAGAGTAATACTTTACACTAGTCATAATGGCCATGGCCATTGACATCATGAATAGAAGACCAAATTTGGAAAGAGAAAAAGTAGGATTTGAGATCTAGCTTCTTTGTTAAAATTTATCTAGCATTTTCTGATGGACAGGACTTTAGTGTCACATAAAATATTTAAATGTTCAGTCTGAAGACTAACTGCCTCCACTTCTGTACCGAGTATCATCACAACAAACCCCTGTAGTAATGATATTGCTATCCTTCCAAACAGAGACCAGAACACAGCACCCCTCTTTCCCCAGCTCTCTCCTGCTTTACTTTCTCTTGGACATGGTTTGTTCATTCCCTCATTCTACCCTGTTGTGTCAGCCATTCGCTATATAAAGCCAAGGGTGAGACTCCTACTGACCAGGACCTCACAGTGTCACTGGGAAAAATGACTTTCAAGAGTCATGTGGTATCATACATCAACTAAGCAGGTTAAGCTGGGCATGGTAGAGTAACATACACCTAGAGTCCTAATACTTGGATAGTAGAGGCATGAGAATCAAGAGCTTGAGGCAACCCTGGGTTAACTTTGCCTTTAAAAACAAATGCATAGCAAGATTCAACTCATGTCTGTGTGTGATTGGTTTTAAAGTGTTTGTTTGTTTCCCCACAACAAAATATGAAGTGATTTGAAGCAACTTGTTTGAATGACAGTACCTGTCTACTTACCCCCTTTTTTCTCCTTCCTTCTTCCTTTGTCTCTTCCTCCCTACCTCCCTCCCCTCTCCCTTTCTTCATTCCATCTAGGCTTTCTGTTTTCTTTTCTTTTTTTGTTTTAAAGAGAAGGACAAGAACTCCTGGTATTACAATAAATTTATATCCAAATGTTTAACTATGATAATAAAATCCCCCAAGGAAATGAATGAATACATTTGAAAAGACCATGTGCTCTGAGTCAGTGTGAACTGTGCCTGGGGCTGAGAGCTCAGGGCCCATAGGAGTTAGTCATAACACCACAGGCACAATGGCGGTGCATCTGCCTCCAGAATTCAACAAACACCTTTGAGAACTATGAGTGGGGATACATAAAAAGCTCACAGAAAAAGATATTCAGAGAAAACTTCTGACAAGAAAAAACTTATAGAAAGGGTCAAACAGTCCACAGGCATAACCTTTCCTTTGGCTTTGGTTAACGGGAGAGAAATGGGAGACTGAGGAGCAGCTTTTTTTTAACCACCTCGAATCCAATCCAGAAGTGGCATGAATGCCAGAAGACTGAGTAATAGATAACCCCTAAGGAGAATTTTTTACTATATTTGTTTGTGTACTTAATAAGATACTCACAAACTGAATGATTAACACTCAAAACAATTTTACTTGAAAACATGACTTAAACAAGTGATTCTCTGTAGCAGTATATTCCCCCACCCCCTCCCGCTACACCTTACAATAAATTCAATAATTTGGGAGGATCTAATGTGGGAGGAGCGAAGGAGAGGAAGAGGAGGAGGAGGAGGAGCTGGGGGAGGGAGGGGAAGATAGTGTTGGCTGTCAGAGTGTCTCTAGCAGTCTAAGATAACAACTTATCAAAATGTTAAATATTGGTTTACAACTCTAATTGTATGCATCTTGTTAAGTGAGCATTTCCAATTATATAAAGCCTTTGGATAATATTAAGCATTAGAGTCTCATTTCTACCAGGTACCGTGTGGATGGTAGGTACTGACTAGGGTTCAGCTACGCTTTGTGGAAACAGCATGGTAGACTGGCAGAGCCATCTCCCACGATAGCATCTCATGAGTGACAGGGCAGGTACATTTGGCCGGTCTGAGCCTCAGGCCTTGTCTAATTGGGAACATGGTGGTCCATAACAACAAGCCAGATTGGGTGCCAACGTTTTAAAATTTAACCATAACAGTTCTCAACATTCTAATGCTCTGGCCCTTTAGTACAGTTTCTCATGTTGTGGTGACCCCAACCATGAAATATTTTACTGCTATTTCATAAGGTCTGTAACTTAAACCAAATTAAAAATATTATTTGATCTGAAGAAATAGTTTTCTTTTGAAACTAATATCTTGTTAATAAATTATTTCATCATGAAATGTAATTTTTGCTTAGAATTATATCATTGATTATAGTCTTTACTGCTACTCTGATTAAAATTTCTAATAGTTCCAATGATTTACCATTACACAGTAAAACTGACTTTACTAGTAGTAGTATTATTAATTATTCCTGTTTTCTAGCCTGCATTGCCCACAGTAATGTCTTGTTCTCATTCCAAAGCATTATCTATTGGTCAGAAATAAGCATGGAGGAGGGAAAATCTGCAAGTGAAAGAGGTACAGCCAGTACCCTGATTTGCATGCTGCTCACTAGTGAAGGTCCTTCTGCTCTCAGAACAGCAGCAATAAAACATAAACACTGGGACTAGAGAGATGTCTCAGTGATTCAAGCCACTGTGCTCTTGGAGAGGACGCAGGTTCAGCTCCTAAAAACCATGTGGCACCTCACAGCTGTCTGCAATTCTAATTCTAGACGATCAAGCACCCTCTTCGGGCTTCCCTGGGCACAAGGCATGAACATGGTGAGCAGACAGAAATGCACACAAAACATTCAGACCCATACAATTTGAAAATTTTATTTTAAAAAACACAGTAACAAAATTGTACCAATTAAACACAGAATGGTGATGCCCTGTATTCTGCAATAAAAAGCAGCAGGAACATGTGCAGATTTGCTAGATACTGACATGGAGATTTTAAAAATGGCCATCTACATTATGCTCTTAAATAAAGTGAAAGAAAAACTAAGCCATATAATCATTTTACCTTAAACACTTCTCTCTTCCTTCTCATGGACCAGCTCCATTAACTGTGACTGGATGTTCCCTGCAGCACCCCTTAGGATTGTTTTCCCTTTTTATTTTAAATATTTATGCTACTTTTTTGAGGACATCTCTCATACTTAAATGTTGATAATTAACAAAAAAAACAATGCTATAAAAATATTACCCTCCAGTAAAATGTATCTGTAATATCGCAAATTTTATTTTAATCACTTGTTGCTGGTTTCAGCCAATTTATTTTGAAATACCAGGAATCTCTTGTGAGAACCTTCCTTGACATTAATGCTATTAGCAGAGCAGCCCAATCTCATAACCCACATTAGGTCTGGAAGTAATTACATACAGCAGCTTTCGTGGCAACTTCTCACTGTGTTTGCTACTTTGTAAGAGACTAATTAGAAAAATTAGTTTAATCTATCATTGTGAAATGGGAATTAAAGTGAGTTTATATATGTACACACTTTTCAGTTTCTATTTGCTTAGCATACACACACACGCACACACACACACACACACACACACACACACACACAAATCTCTTAGGACATTTTGTGTTATATGTCTGGAACTTTCAGCCATCCAGAAAAAAAAAAATGGAGGCTGTGAAATAACGAAAAAAATGTGTCTAAAAAATCCACATAAAAGTTTTGGGAGACTTGAAAATGGGAACAGCAGACACTTAAAAGTTATTGAACCAGAAAAGAAAAAAAAAAAAAACTCCTTCCTGGCAGGTGCTCATACATCAGCATACAAAAACCATTGGACAAAATGAAGGCATGCAAACAGTCACATATCTACATGAAATCCATATTCAAATAAAAAAAATAGCTCATTTCCTTTCTTATTTAAGACGGAAAACAAAAGAAGGGAAAAAGGAAAGGAAAGAAGGAAAGAAAGGAAGGAAGGAAGGGAAGGAAGGGAAGAAAGGGGAGAAGGGGAAGGAAGGAAGGAAGGAAGAAAGGAAGGAAGGAAGGAAGGAAGGAAGGAAGGAAGGAAGGAAGGAAGGAGGAAAGAGAGAGAGAAAAGAACGTCAGACAGACAAGTCAATAATTATAAAAGAAAATGTTAAGACTGTAGGAGGTACTCTAAAGTCTTCACAGTCTGGATCCCGTTCCAACACCTCCACCATGCCACACTGTTACGGAATGCTTTGTTCACCGGTACTTAATTACATTATCGGATGAGGATGAGTTCACATCGCCTGTCATGTAATTGCTGTGATGATAAATTTTGTCACAGACTGGTAGCACATATGTCAACGTTAGGTATTTCAGAATGCATTCTTTAAAGTACTCATCACTATGTAGATGAGTATGGAGGGAAAGTGTGAAAGTGTTATGACTCATGAAATCACATGACTTACAAATATGACTGAGAATTTGGGCAACTGTCTCTGTTGAGGTCTTGTCAGAAAATAAAGGCAGATTTTGAAGATAAACAAACAGAAGAATATGAATAAAATTCTGGGCAAGGCAAAAGCATTCAGTATGACACCACATGCAGAAGTCCTGGGGGAACATGCTACAGAACAGACGCAGGATAAAGATGTCTCAGACTTAGCAGACAGGGTCTGCCCTTGGTCCTCTTGCTTGTTTGCTATACTGATCAGTTCAGCAGAAAATCAGAGGTCAAGGGCAAGAAAACAACATAATGGTGGGCTATCATCTTCTCAGGACAGTGGGGAAAGTATGAAGGAAGCACATTAATGAAAAGGGGGGCAAGTGGATAATCTCCCCCCTTTCTATTTACAAAAGCCTAGGTCAGATAATCAGAACCACAGTGCACTTTCCATTACCATGCAATGTGGCTTCTGCTTGTGTTAGAACAATGTTTCCAGCCTTTTCACACCCAGGCAAAAGATACTCAAGTAAAGAACAATTGAGAAACATATCTAAAACACTAGATTTCAAGGGAAAAAAAGAAAACTCTTTGGAATGTAATCCTATAAATAAAAATGATTGTAATTGGTTTCAAAACAATAGCTTCATTAAGACATTATCATATGTCTAACATTTTTACCTCCTTTATATTCACCAACCATTATCCTCTCACATCTCCCCTCTCACTGGTCCCCTTACTACCTGTATCATTTACTTTTCTGTTGCTATAATAAAATACCAGGACCAACACCACTTAAGGAAGAGTTTATCCTGGCTTATGGTTTCAGAGGGATGGAGTCCATCATAGCAAGGCAGCAGGACCAAGAAGCTGGCTGACCACATTTTTAACAGCACACAGAAAGCAAAGAGAAAGAACAGAAGAGAAAGAACAGGAAGTTGAGCACAGTTTACAAACCCTCAAAGCTCTCCTTAACTTGGATAAAATTCTTTCTACAAGGCTCCACCCCCTAAAGGTTTCATATCCTCCTCAAAGAGTACCACCTACTGGGACCAAGTGTTAAATGAACAAGACTATGGAGACAATTCTCATCAAGCCATAACACTGCTCTCCTAAATAATGGACGTTCTACCTTCATGTTATATCTAACATATATTTATGTATTTCTTTAATTAGAGTCCTCATAGTAGAAAAAACAATAGACGTTCTTTTGAGTTTGAATTATTTAGTATAACATGATCTCCTGTTTCATCTACTTTCCTGAAAATGGCATAATCCAGATGATAAACATCTTCGCTGATTCCATATCAGATATAGATAAGAAGGTAGAATAAGGGCTTAAAATATTAATTTACATAAAATTTTCCAACACCTAAAGCTGTACTTTTAAAAGTTTGCTTGTTTCATATGTGCATATTGTGAATGTTTATGTACATTGTTTGCTCCATGAATCTATGTGTACAGATGCAACAGACCAAGGTGGAAATATATGGAAGTCAGAGGAAGTTGTTAGGTATCTTCCTCAAACTCCCTCTTACAGCCTTGAGGCAGGATTTCTTACTGAATTTAAAGATAACAGTTTTTGCTAGGCTGGCTGGTCAATAACCTCCTGAGGTAACCTGTTCCCTCTACCCCAGTGTCTGCACTGGAGGCATGCAGAGCCATGCCCAGTATATTACATCAGTGCTAAGATGTCGACCTCATGTCCTCATGCTGGCACTGTGAGTGTTCCTCACTGAGCTAACTCCCTAGGCCCTAGAAGTGCAGTTTTTAAAACACTGACTTTGATGTTTGAAAGGATAAACATAAAAGCAGTCACTCTCCTGATGATGACTTTTTAAAAGGATTCACAGAGGTGGGCTTTGGGAATGCGAGATCTAGCCCAAGACAAAATAATTAGCCTCTGAAACAGCATCGTTTTGATCTTGTCACCACTGAAATTCTAGTCAGTTAATCTCTGAAGACACAGCTTTTTTTTCAGGAGCTTCTGTTCACAGTTCCACCACAGTTTTGTGTATATTTTTGAAACCTATTAACTAGCAGAACACCAATCTAAAAGCTCAGATGGCACCATGAGTCTATAGGAAACTCCTTCATCTCATTCCACCTGCCTCTCTGAAGTACCCACCAATCTACTTTAAATTCACCCTCATTATGACTTCCCTTATTCTGCAAAACTATAAAAAACAAAAACAAAAAAAACTTAATGAAACTGCTTCCATGTTGGAACACGGAATTTGGGGTAACTGAAATCTGTGTTCCAGTGCCATGGTCACGCAAAAAAAAATGCCACCAGAATATAAACTATCTCTTACCCCACTTCCCTCAAAAAAAAAAATGAATTCACTTCATATGTTTGAGACTCAGCATTAACCAGAAATGATAGCATTGGCAGGACTGTTAAAACCGGAGTCCTTTCTGGTTCCTTTAAAAGCACTGTGTGGTTAAATGCTACTGTAAAATCCAAGTAAAGTTTTCTTAGCATGTATTTTACACTGTTGGTGGAGCGTTGTCATGAGGGAAGGCATGGTGGCAGAAGCCTGAGGTTACACTGTCAGCAGTCTACAGGAACTACAGGACAGGCAAGAACTTGGGGCAGGCTATGAAACATGGCCTGCCCAGTGACTTTCTCTAGTAAGACTCAGCCACCTAAAGGTCACCTAACCTTCTACTACAACACCCTCCACTGGTGACAAAATGTATAAGCTCATGAGCATGTTGGGGACAGTTCACATGCCAACCCAGGTGGCCAGTAAGTGACTGAAAGTGATGAGGATTGCACACATTGTTCAAAAGGACAAAGTAAAATGGTGTGGGGATTTTATCACACTCTGAAAAATGGCTCTAATTGAAAACGTACTACCTATTTCCAGAATTTTCCTTTTAATATTTTCAGACTGTGGTTGGCTTTGGGTAGCTAGAACTATGTCAAAGAAAATTGTGGGTAAGGTAGAATGAGTGGGTGGCACTCTGCAGAGTGACAGAAGTGGACACCAGATACAGCTGTATTCATTTATTGGTCTCTCAGCTATATAGTTTGTTGATATCTTGCTTATTGCATATCTTAAAACAAGCCTCTAAATTATACCCAATAAGAAATAATAACAGCTCAACATTTCAAATCAAAATATTCTTTTGAACAGTATTTGATGAGCAACCTAGTACCAAGACCCAGATGCATCTTTGATTGAATCTCCTCTATTACTGCTCATGACAAGGTTGCTGAATGCTGCTCTGTGTTTGGGAAGAGTAGTATTGGAAGCAGACCATGCCAAGGCCTATATACTACAGAAGTACATATTAACAAAACCAAACCAGCCAAAGTTTATAAGTCACATATTAAAAGACGGTGCTTCTTTAGTTACATATATTTAAATTAAATAAATTTAAAAGAAACCACAAGATTGACATATGCAATTAGAAATATATAAAGTCCCATACTTGTAAGCAGATTCAGATTAAAGACAGTTCATTCAATTGTTTTTTTCCTGAAAAAGAAACTTAAAGCATGCCTGGTGTTCAACTTAGACTCATTACCAATTTTAGAATGAGATTTTTTTTTTTTCTGAATCCTATAGACCGACTGACTACAGTTAATTCCTCAGGCCACTTCTGAACTTATTTTATGTAGCAGAGAATGTTATATAGAGAAGCTTAAAGCTGGATTCCTAGACTAATTAGCAAATGAAGACAGGGTTTCACTGATGTGATCAGTTAACATCTTCTGGCCCTGCCTGTGGAACTGAGCTAGCATTGCTATCCCAAAGTACAAGTTAACTTTTTGGTGCTATGATAGAACATCATGACCAAGGCAACTTATAGCAGAATTAATTTAAGCTTACGGTTCAGGGTTCTAGTAGAGCAAGAGTTCATCGTGGCCGAAGACAAGCAAAACAGCAGAGGAAGGAAGCTAAGAGTTGACATGCTCACCTGCAAACATGAAGCAGAAAGAGATGAAACTGGAAGTAGATGATGCTTTAAGCTCTCAAAGCCTAACCTAATTACATGTCCCGAAGCAAAGCCACGCCTCTTACACCTTCTCAAACAGTGTTACCAACCAGGAACCGAGTATTCAAATGCCAAAGCCTATCTCTTACTGAAAACACCACAAAGCACAAATTGAAAGTCAACAACAAAAGCCTACATCAGTATGTTACATATATGGTTTCCATCTTCTCCAGAACCCTGAGGTAGGCAGGCTCTTGGTGAAAGTGTCTTATTTTAGTTGTCTATGTTGCTCATCCCTCCATTTGAATGAAATGCTATTTTAATAAAAGTTTCCTAACACTGAGCTTCCATTTTCTGTTCTAATTTACTACATATGGGAATTTGCAGTGTGACCAGCAGGTGGAAGATTGTTCCTGGCACTCTCAGTATACAGTATACACATCTTACACTGACATTTTAACTTGTGCCATTCCTCTCACTTGATTTTCCTCATGGTGCAAACATTTGTGTGGCCTAAATCAAAGAATAGTCCATAAAGTCTTCCAACGCTCTCTTATCCATTTCCAACTGGTCTTTAAAAGAATCATATCTGTCACTTTAAAAATACACAAAATCTGATTTGCATTACACTTAAGTGTGTTTGGAATCCTCCTAATGTCTGCCTCAAGCACATAGGTTTCTTGAGATTAAAGTATTTATTGTCTTTCAGTCTCTAGATGAATTTTTCCGAATGGAAAACTAGTTCCAAATCCAAAGTGCTTTCTTCTGATGGGAAACTGTCATAGGCATGCATAGCTACTTAACAAAAAATGGCTACTGTGAAGCAAATAATTACTCACTGTGGTGCTGAGAATTAACAAAATTTTGGTTTTGAAAAGGTGAGTACTGCTGAAGTTTCTCTGCACTGTCCCAGCCACTTGGAAATGAAGTTGTTTTGGACTTCTTTCTCATCCTAGATTGGATCTGATTTTCATTCTGGTGGCTTAAGACTTATTAATGGTCCCCCATGGCCTTGAGGCTTTTTCAGAGTTATGTCCTTTGGGCAGTCAGTTGAAAGGAAGGTTTAATGGGGTTTTCCTTAACATCTAGGATCTAGTGACTCTTAGTTTTGTCTACCACATTATGAGGTTAACTTGAAAGTCTCTCTTAAGTGGAATGTTAGTGTTTCCTTTGGGACAGGGTAGCATTTAAATACACTTATCTCTACTGCCCTAGCCCTGTACTTCACTCGCTATCACATCATGTGACTTGAGTATTCAGTGACCTCTGTAATTCCTAACAGCCACAACCAGAAACTTTAAAACCCATCATACAGTTAGACTAAAATAAAACACAAGGCCAAACATTAGTCTGGACTAAGGGTCAAAAACTAAACGAAACTGGCTTAACTATATGCTCTGATAAGAATGCTCAGAATTTTTCAGAGTCTAGCATAAATAAGTAGATTAATTTGAGCTTAAACTTTCATTTACTGCTTTGCCAGTATGCCTCAGGATAGTGCTGCCAGTCACTAGGTTAGTCGAGGCAGGATTGCAAACTGAAAGGCTGCGTGTACAATTTAGTGATAGGTTTCCTCAGAATCAATAAGTAATATAAATAAGGAAAAAGGAAAAAAGTCCGGGGATGCAGCACAGCGTGTGAGAGTCCTGGTTCCACAAGTACCAGAAAAACGGGCCATTTAAGATCACATCCGCACTGCTAATAACGATGAACATCGGTCCCCTTTCGGGGAAGCGGCAAAGTGTCTACCACGGGCATTTTTAAAACAATGAGGCACATAAAATCCTGGCGCTTAAACACGCACTCTCCCATCCTCTCCCATACTCAAGAGTAAAAATTTGTGACTTCCTCCTAGTTCATTTCCAGCGCCAAAGTGCCCCGGAAACCACGTTGCGAGACTGACACGGCCGTCGTCCAATAGCACAGCACGCTGAGGCGGGCCCTCACGCTCACGTCCAATCGGCTCTCGTCTCGGAAGGTCAGGGCGGAAGCGGCCGCCATGGAGCCACTTGTGCAGCATACAGAACGCTTTTCAGAGCTGCTGGCCGTGTCGTGCGGGACGCTGGTGAGCACGTGGGACGCCGCGACGGTGCGCAGGGCGCTGCAGTGGGCGCGCTATTTGCTCCACGTGTACCGACGCTTTGCGGGCCGGGGCTGCGTGCGGGAGGCGCTAGAGAGGCGGCTCCACGGGCCGAGAGGGCCGCTCGGGCTGCGTAGCTTCGCAGCGCTAGAGTCTGGGGACGCGCGGCTCGCCCTACGCCTGCTGCGGAACCGCGCGCTCGCGCCCGCCGCTGTCCGTGTGCTGCCGAGCTTGCTGTTCCCAGGCCCTGCGGCGGACAACGAGGACGACTTGCCGCAGTCGCGCTTGGTCCTCCAGGCGCGCCGCGGAAGCGCGCTGCACCTGCTCTTCCGCCTCGGCGGGGACGCGCCTAAGGACGCGCTGCTGCGCACGCACGCGGAGCTGCTGTACGCGCGCCTGCACGAGCTGGGCGGTGCCGACTCCACGGCCGCGCGCAAACTCCTTGATACCCTGTGGACTCACGGGCCGTGGGAGCACGTGCTCAGCGTGACGGCCGAAGCGCTGCTGTTCCGGGCAGACCCGGTGCCAGCCCAGGCCACAGACCCTGCGGATGCGGATGAGACACAAAAACTACTGCACTGGCTTCTAGAAAGTCCCGAGATATTGGCCGCTTTTTGCCGCCATCTGCCAGCTAAGCGCCTGGCCTCGGTGGCAGGCTGCCACCACGCACTGTCTCGCGCCTATCTGGACCTGCTCACAACGTGGGCCAAGCGACTGCACTATGATCTGCTAAAGGGCGCCTGGGTCCCCACACAGCTGGAGGACATGCCCTGGGAAGAGCTTTGCCTAAGGCTGCAGAACTTGTGCCATGCCCAGCCATTTCTGCAGCAAGAGGTGCTGGTGACGTTACGCACCTGCAAAGCCTTAGATGGAGATTTTGAGGTTCCTGGAATGAGCATCTGGACAGACCTCCTGCTGGCCTTGCCTGGAGGTGCTTGAGTGTGGGATCTCTAGAGGAGGTTCTCAGATCCCAGGCTAGGCATCTGGACAGACCCTGTCCCATGGAGGGAACAACAAGCTTACTTCTCACCAAAACCTCTATGCACAGCATCCTGCTACTGTTTAACTATACAGTTTACAAACTGTCAGTGTTCTCACCAACTCCCTGTATACATGTTCCTGAAACCTAATTTGTTTAGGTGTCAATTTTAAGTGGCTCATTATAGAAATATATATATAATATGGACAAAACATATACTGTATGTTATATATGCATACGTAGTATATATAGTTCTCTCCATTCTGGTGGTATATCCAGGACCCGGCCTATGTTAGACAGTGCTCACCACTGAGCTACATTCCTAGCTTTGGAAGTGTTCTTAAAGTCATCGAATTTTCAGCTTGTTTTGTATAAAGCTAATTTGTAAGAATCCTAAACATAGATGCACTTTAAAAAGAAAAGGCAACTTTAAATTTCCAGGAGGACACCTTTTATGTGTATGATTTACTTGTTTCCTGGTACTCTTCAGTAGTACAAAGTTTTGTTTAACCAGCAGCATGTGGTAGCATCAGATGTTAACTGCAAACCTGCCTGGGCTAGAGTTAAAGCCCTAGACTTGCTTTCCTTGACTTGTTTACCATCCTTCCTGTGCATTAAAGTCGTATTGTTAAGAAAGTTTTGTTCTTTGTACAAGTCACTACTCTGAGAGTCAAAATAACAGCAAATTAGTTTAAAGCATTTCTTGAGTACACGCTTAAGTGTATAGAGCACAATATATCCCTTTGGGTTATATGATGAAGGAATCCACTGAGTTAAGAGAATCAAGACCACTTCTGCCATTTTCCAAGTTAATAGCCCTAACTTGGTGTCATCGCTATGGTGTTTAAATATCTGATTCTGTTTTTCCTCGTGGTTGCTGGGATGGAGACTATTTGGAGTGTCTGTTTTCTGACTAACAACCCAGCTTTGCCAGGTAGTGGTGGTACAAGCCTTAAATCCCAGCACCAGATAGGCAGAGACAGGCAAATCGCTAAGTTCAAGACCAACCTGGTCTACTGAGCAAGTTCCAGGATAGCCAGGGCTACACAAAGAGAAAAGCTGTCTATAAAAAACAAACAACTTTGTCTGTTTGAGTATTTTAAGCTTAATAAATGCTTTTGTTAATAAATAACTTGCTAAGTAAATTTCCAGGGATCAACACACTTTCTCCATGGTAAATGCCTATAATTCAGGAAAATAATTCTTCATTCTAAAAATGGAAAAAGAGCAAAAGGCTATATAATGCAAAGAAGGACCTCCTTGCACTACAGTGCCTTTGTAAGTGGTCTTTTTCTTATTTTCAACTGACTGACTCTTTGTTCAACATTTGCATCCCAGCCATTTCTGCCATGCTCCTGATGTTCCTAATCTCTCCTGTAACTGCCTGGGCCTTTACTAGAAGGTGTATGCTACTCATACCATAAAGCTCTTTCCTGGCTGTCTCCATATCAGTTTGTGCTGCTGTGGAAACGGTTGGATTCATATGTCCCATTTCCCAGTACTGATATTCTGCCCCATGTTTTACCTGCAGTGACTAGCCAGCCTTGAGAATAAACATTGTAAATCCCTCAGCAGGTTAGTATGTCTGTGACACTGCTTTGGGGTACCTTGTGAATAAGTAAAAGTAGGACCTACATCAGAATTTTCATTTTAATAGGCAGAAGTCAGTGTGCCTATTAAAGTTAAGTTACCTGGGATCATGGCTAAAAAGGTTGAAGAGACCTTCCTAGAATGTATGAGGGAAGAAATATGCTTTTCTTTCTATATGCCTCACTTTTTAGTTAAATCATTATTTTTAGAAGTGGGTCTCTATGTAATATCAGCAGTGCCTATGATACTAAGTAGTATTGGCAAGGCTTGGTAATTCAAGGCCTTGATATATAAATTTAATATCACTTGTCCACATTTTGATTTGACCTCCTTCCTCTCAAATTTGCCCACCATGTATACATAAATATATGTGGCATATCTCATTTACTTTTTTTTATGATTCCAGGATTAATTTTTAGCATTTTTACTTTAGATTTATTTTATCTTTAAACATGCATATGTGTGTCTGTGTGAGGATGTTTGCATGTGAGGATAGATGCCCTTGGAGGCCAAAGGGGAGTGTCCTATCACCTAGAGCTATAGTTACAATTAACTGTGAACTGTCCAATGTGATCCCTCTGCAAGAACTGCTACTGATAGTTTTCTGGAGTCTGCATTGCATTTTAGAGTCCGAAGTTCCTTAAGAGGAGAGCAAACCCCAGTGTGTTGATGGGGCTTTGTTTCTTTGTGTGTTTTGTAGTGTTTCTCTTTGACTTTTCCTTTCTTTTTGCTTTGAGTTGATTTTCTTAGGTTGTAATCTTGATTGTCTGCTTGATTTGATCTTTAATCAATTAAGAGACAGGCCTCTGGACAAGTCTGAAGGTATTTGCCAAGAAGATTAACTCAAGGAGAAGACGAGAGAGAGAGAGAAAGAGAGAGAGAGAGAGAGAGGGAGGGAGGGAGGGAGGGAGAGAGAGAGAGAGAGAGAGAGAGAGAGAGAGAGAGAGAGAGAGAGAGAGAGAGAGAGATCCTTCCAACTGCCTGGGTATGTGGAGATCAGCAAGAAAAACAATTGCTTTTTGCTGCCTGCCTTGACACTTGCTCATGAGTGCATATAATCTGTATGAGTGTCTCTTGGGACAGTATGCTCAGTGGGGAAGACTTGTTTCTCTAGAGCAATGAGGACCCCAGACTGCAACTGACACTCATAAGTAGCCAGTTACTATGGTGGCATGAATAGAAATAGAGCATCATCACTGGGGTATCTGTCTAAGAAGTGCAAATCACTATAGAAATGATTTAAGTAAAATTAATCTGAACAAGCATCAAGTCCCGATATATGGTGACTTTCTCAAATTTTAGCCCATCAGCCTTAACAGCTTTCCTGAGTTAACTTTACACCTCAGAGTTGAATCAACGTTCATATATGTCATAATTATGTCTGAGGGTAGCCTGGACTACATAGTGAGTTCAAGCCACTCAAAGATGAGTTCCAAGCCAGTCTGAGCTACATACACAATCCAAGCTAGCCTGGACCACAGTATACAATTCCTGACTTCTCCCCAAAAAGAATTTTGTTGCTGAGGATTAATTCTCAAATGTACTTTCTTGTTGTCACATATTTTATGCTGATGCTGTATGCCAAAGTTCAAAAGGAGAAACAGATTATAAACAGAATAACCACTGGCGTAAAACCTATGGATACAAGATATTCATTATTGACACAACTTAATTGATGTAAACACTCTAGGAAGCAAACATTGATTTTTCTCAGGAATTAATTGGAAATGATCAATTAGTCTATCAGAATAGTGTCACAACCTCATTTATCAGATGCTCATTGTCCTAGTAGGCTGAGGATGCCCTTTTGACTTAGGAATATGGTGGCCCTAAGGGAAAGAGCTTAAATCATTACTGTGATGGCTGTCTCTGGCTGTCTCTGGCAGCATCATTGTTCTTAATACTGAGGTTGGGGTTTAAAGCCCTATTGTAGTTCTATCTTTGTATGCAGGGAGTGATATGAACCCCAACCTGAGATAAGTTCCACACACAATGGCTGTCAGGTCCAAAGGAAACCCCAGTTCTCCAAACTCCAAAAGTCCATCCAAATATACAAAAATGACTTCTTTTAGCAGATGGGAACTGGCTTCACAGTTTATTAGAAATAAGTGGCTTTTCCCCAACCACCAAAAATCTTCCTATACTCCAGATCTGAGATCATCTCTAAATATATGGGCTGCCTTTTGGAGCTTAGTGAACTGGGGTTTCTTATAGACCTCACTGTGACCACAGGGATATAGGTATAGTGTGAAAACTGAATTTGCATTTTATATTTATGTAGAATTTATGTAATATACACACACACTGTATTTATGTATAATACAAGGCTCTATCAAAATCTACAATCTATAACCTAGATCCTAGGATTTATTCTGAAATTGACTAGTAGAATTCATACTGAAAGGGAACATGTTCCAAAGACAAACCATATCTGTGTTCATAATATCCTTACCTTATGACACCACATTCAAGTGGCAAGTATTTACTCATCTGGCAAGCACTCTGTCACTGTGTTGTGATTTGATGTACTAAAAATTATTAATATCCAATCTTCATAGTAAACAATTTTTGGTTTTTAAGTGATCTTGATGGGCTCCACAGGATGACCTTGATCTCAGGGTTTCTTGGCCCAGTCTCAGCAGCTGCAGGGGTTACAGATGTGTGCTGCCACTCCTTTTTTATGATTTATATGTATTTATGTTGTGAGCCAAGTGTCTCATATTTTACAGACTATATAGAGAAAGCAGAACATAAAGAACAGGTTTGTTTTAGGTCAGTACTGGGTCTGTTAATTCCAGTGCCTGCTCCATGAGCTCTCAGATGGTTGTTGAAATATTCATTAGTTTGCTGTGCATTTGACATAATATCAATAACCTTGGTAAAATATTCTATGTGAGGCAACACATATACTTAGAGTATTGATACAGTGCCCACAGGGATATAAGCTGTGAGCTGTTGTTGGTTTTCAGTGAATGTAGATGCAATAACCGAAGAAAATGGCCAGATTTCTTTGCATGTCCCAGACACATTCAGTACCTTAAAAACCTGTGATGTTCTTTTTAAAGTTGGTCTTACTGATGACCCGGTCAGACTCTGGAGGACACTGATCAAAAATCAAGACAAATACAAGAAAGAGGTGTGTTGGGAGAAGAGGAACTGCTAGCGACTGGTAGGGGACGAAAGGAAGTTGGACCAGGTATAGAATCCACAATGCACATGTATGAAACTGTAAAAACAAAATCTACCAAAAATGATAACTGAATTTGAATCTATAACTAAGCTTTAAATAGTCTTTAACATATTAGTGATTAAAATTTAAAATAGCAAAACCATTCAGATAATGAGTTGTTTTATCATCTGGAAGTAAAGAAATCTGATAATTTAGAATATTTTGGCAGGAAAAAATAAGTTTTCTATCTTCTGTTGTAAAAAAACAGAAAATGCAAAATGTTGACAATAGTTTAGGCATATACTCAGTATTTTACCTGAGGAGAAACAACCGTGGGTGGGATCAGAGTACAGGCAAATATGTGTTCCATTCCTTCTACTCTGTTTTCCTAATAATTACAGAAACATAGATTCCTGACAAGACGAGTTTGGAATTGTGTTTGAGACAAAATAAAATAAATGGCAAGTGACTAATGAGCAATTTACAGCAGATACATGCCATAGTCCACTGGTCAGCAGGTGAAGGTTGTGTACGGGGTTGCTATGGTCACCCAAACTCATCCAGACCAGCCACCATGTTCTAATTATAACCAGGAAGCCCTGAACTCTGCTCAGCGCAAATTGGGCAGTGTAGATTCAAAATGATTTCATTGTTGTTACAGGCATTAGCTAAGGAGGGATATTTGAAGAATTTATGCTACAGCCAGGTTTACTGGCTAGTTCTACTAATAGACTATCACCACGGCTGTCACCACATTATAATTCAAAGACATTATTTCAAGAGCGAAATAGTTTTTAAGATACATTTTTTTATGTTATAGGAATTAAAAGATTGAAAGGGGAAACAGTTTAAAAACATGTTTCATGACTTTCAAACC